AGGGTTGAGACCGTCGAGGTAAAAAATCGAGAGTCAAGACCGTTCAGGTCGAGAACTGAGGGTCGAGACCGTTGAGGTCGAAAACCAAAAGTGGAGACCGTTGAGGTCGAGAACCGAGAGTCAAGACCGTTCAGGTCAAAAACCGAGAGTTGAGACCGTTCAGGTCGAAAACCGAGGGTTGAGATCGTCGAGGTCGAAAATCGAGGGTTGAGACCGTCGAGGTCGAGAACCGAGAGTTGAGACCGTTGAGGTCGAGAACTGAGGGTCGAGACAATTGAGGTCGAAAACCAAGAGTTGAGACCGTTCAGGTCGAAAACCGAGGGTTGAGACCGTCGAGGTCAAAAATCGAGAGTCAAGACCGTTCAGGTCGAGAACCGAGGGTCGAGACCGTTGAGGTCGAAAACCAAAAGTGGAGACCGTTGAGGTCGAGAACCGAGAGTCAAGACCGTTCAGGTCGAAAACCGAGAGTGGAGACCGTTCAGGTCGAAAACCGAGGGTGAGACCGTCGAAGTCGAAAATCGAGGGTTGAGACCGTCGAGGTCGAGAACCGAGAGTGGAGACCGTTGAGGTCGAGAACCGAGGGTCGAGACCGTAGAGGTCGAAAACCAAAAGTGGAGACCGTTGAGGTCAAGAACCGAGAGTCGAGACCGTTCAGGTCGAAAACCGAGAGTTGAGACCGTTCTGGTCGAAAACCGAGGGTTGAGACCGTCGAAGTCGAAAATCGAGAGTCAAGACCGTTCAGGTCGAGAACCGAGGGTCGAGACCGTTGAGGTCGAAAACCAAAAATGGAGACCGTTGAGGTCGAGAACCGAGAGTCAAGACCGTTCAGGTCGAAAACCGAGAGTTGAGACTGTTCAGGTCGAAAACCGAGGGTTGAGACCGTCGAGGTAAAAAATTGAGAGTCAAGACCGTTCAGGTCGAGAACCGAGGGTCGAGACCGTTGAGGTCGAAATCCAAAAGTGGAGACCGTTGAGGTCGAGAACCGAGAGTCGAGACCGTTCAGGTCAAAAAACGAGATTTGAGACCGTTCAGGTCGAAAACTGAGGGTTGAGACCGTTCAGGTCGAAAACCGAGGGTTGAGACCGTCGAGGTCAAAAATCGAGAGTCAAGACCGTTCAGGTCGAGAACCGAGGGTCGAGACCGTTGAGGTCGAAATCCAAAAGTGGAGACCGTTGAGGTCGAGAACCCAGAGTCAAGACCGTTCAGGTCGAAAACCGAGAGTTGAGACCGTCCAGGTCGAAAACCGAGGGTTGAGACCGTCGAGGTCAAAAATTGAGGGTTGAGACCGTCGAGGTCGAGAACCGAGAGTTGAGACCGTTGAGGTCGAGAACCGAGAGTCGAGACCGTTGAGGTCGAGAACCGAGGGTCGAGACCGTTCAGGTCGAGAACCAAAAGTGGAGACCGTTGAGGTCGAGAACCGAGAGTCGAGACCGTTCAGGTCGAAAACTGAGAGTTGAGACCGTTCAGGTCGAAAACCGAGGGTTGAGACCGTTGACCGAAGTCTTGAATTTGAAAGTTTGAATTTACGTCTGTTGTGTTTCGATCATCATTTTCGAGCTCTCTTATACCACCTCGTCCTATCGCCCCTCAGTTCAAAGTTTAAAATTCAAGTCTGTTGTATATTCCTTTGAAACATAAGTCAATTTGGGTTGGTATAGTGGTTCTAATTTTATCATACAACCTTGAGGTCCTAGGTTGGAACGCTTGTCCACCCTCGGAGGGGTGGTCGACACATACGACCATCTTCGTTCGGTGGGTTTTAATCATGGCGGACCACCCAGCCCAGAGGCCTTAGTCATGGTGGATTTGTCTTCTTCAACCACCCA